CATTTATTTATTGGCTTTGACTACGTCAAATTGTTGTTGATATCTGCATGGCTTGTTGATATTCCAAAGTGAATCTCATTCTCTATGTTTCAAGCTGTTGTAGATTAGTTGTCAGTTTGTTTAAGGATATAAATATTTTCATAATGTAATTACTGTTAAGGGGTGACTACCTACGAGTGGCGGTAGGAAAATTATATTAGAAAAATGCTATGGATTCTAAATACTTATCAACATTTTAAGTAAATATCTCACATGGGTAGAAGATTTAATATTTGAGGTCTTTAATATTAGTTCATTATATTATTAGTCAGTGAATCTTTTTATAATACAAGATAAATGATTGCTATAATTTTAGTTACAAAGGCGGGGAAATTGTTCTCCATGAAGATAAAAGAAAGGAAGCAAGAGGGTGCGTGTGAAGAACAATTTCACACATTTGTAATTAAAATTATATCATTCATTTGTTCTTGTAATTATAACAAAATTTCCAGTGACTTATAATATAATTTTCTTACCCCCACTGATTAGTAGTTGCCTTCACTCTAAACCGTTTCATTTAAAATTTTTGGTGTTATTTTGTTTTTTTTTTTTTTTTTTTTTTCTTCCTGCAAGAATGGAAACACCTTTCAAAACCTTATTAAGACAACAACATATGTCTTTCGCAGAGAAATGCGAGCCATGACGGCTTCATCAGCTTTTGCCTTTTGGCCCTTTATGTTTTTCCTCCTCCACAATCATTGAGAGGGGAGTTTGTGCCGAGCAAACGGGTTAAGCTAGTTGTGACATGGGCCTTGCCGTTGGATTACGCGACCGAGTTGGCATAGTTGAGGGCAGTTTGGCCATGGTTCTAGATCATGTGACTGAGTTAGCCTAAGGTCCGAAAGTTGGACCGGGCTAAGCCGAGCTAGGTGAAGCGATGGTCCAAGGCTGAGCAAAGTCAGCGTGAATGAATGGAGTTGGGTAAACAGAGCTAGTTATTGAGCTTGGCCTTGAAGGTCGATCAAAATTGAGGCTGGAACTGACCGCGCTATGCCTAGCTTGGTGGAAATTGCCAGGTGGTCCAATTGGAGTGCGATAAGAAAAGCCCGCCAATAGTATGCGT